GCTTACGGTCGTCTAATTCTTACAATAATGACATCATCTTGCTACTTAGAATACGACAAATAATATTCTACACAGATTTTATACGAATAATCTTAGTATCTTCGGTATGATCACAATACATTCAGTATAAATACAGAATATCATATGAGATCACGTGCTGATAGGATATATTCTGAAGATGCGCTTAAGAATATACGAGAAATAATATACCATCAAGATGTCATATGAATGTTCTCTGGTATATTAAGCAATAGTACGTATGACCACAATACTTTCAATATGAGTGTAGAATATTCGAATGATATGTGCCATTAGGGTAATAATTTATTAATTTATCACAAAAGACTGAAAAAGGAATAAAAAGGTTTTTTAATACAGTAAATAATTTACAATTATGAATTAAAGTATATTTTGTAATAATAAGACTAATATTAGTGTAATTCAAATTACATCCCTAATAGCACATGATATAAAATAACACACCCTCCCTTCTTATTCGGGAGCTCGAGCCATGCTTGATGCAATCTCTCCTGCCGCCCTGCAGAGGGACCCAACATTGTTCTTTCTTCGCCTGTTTGAAAAAAAATGCGGCTTCATCGCGCTTCACTCAGAGGGAATAATTGGTTTTTCCGGCTCCACTTTGCAACGAGAGAAACTGTGTAGCTTTGATGACATTGGCGATTGAGAAGTAATAGGATCGAACAAGCGTAAGCGGTGGAGCACTGACGCACCAGGAGGATTATTTGTATATTTGCCAATGGCGTTAGAGGGTGTTGCCGCTGCGGTCCGACCTGCATCCAGTCTCGAGTGAGAGACAACATCGCTCTGGAGATCGCACCGGTCGTGGAGATTCGAGAAAGATATACATGTATATATATTGTGATATATGTATATGTGTACGTATCATTGTATTATTGACGTGTTACTCTAAACACGTTATTTGCGATAAATATCATCACATGCCTTGTAGTAGTCGAAAGGATAAGATACCTACCCAGTAAGCAGGAGATCCAGGTTCGATTCTTGGCTGAGGTGGTATTTTTTCGCAAAATGATTACGAGTTTTTCACGACCTGGTTCGTGGTCGGGCCCCACCGTGACGCACACCCTCCCTTCTTATTTGGGCAACATAAAATAAACGTAACATTTGTCACGAAATATTATCATAAATATATTATCATTTAATCGTTATCTTTAAATCATTTTTAATGAATAAATAATGAAATAACATTACTAATTACTATCTTTTTTAATTAACCATAATATATAAATAAGAAAATATTTCCCATATAATTAATACAATTATTGAAAAAAATTAAATAAATTCATAAACAAATAAACAAAATATATTCAATAATTTATAAACAATTTTCATAATAAAAATGACTCTCATTAACATAATATAGGTTCACAGATTTATATATGTAATTAAATTATCCACAAGAATTATATATGCAATCGAGATTTTAAAAAACTATATGACAATATACTAACATTCAGATCTATCATATTTTATGCCAAAATTCCATGTTCACTTATATCATCATTTCAATTGCAGGTTTCATCCCATTATAGAAGTTAAGCAGCATCGAGCAGGATCCCCAGTAGGATCCCGTATGTAAAGGAATTATTGAGAACTATTGAAAAATATAACTATTCAGAAAACTATTGAAATTTTATGTAGTATTATGGGACATTACTATTGAAAACATGAAGTTTACTATTGGATGAATAGTTACTATAAGTATTTACTATTCATTACTATTAGAATTATAAATAGCTTACTATTGGAACAAATAGTAACTATAGGGCACTTACTATTCATTACTATTAGAATCATAAATAATTTACTATTGGAGCGAATAGTATTATAAGAATTTACTATTCTTTATTATTAGAATCATGAATAGTTTGCTATTCTATTAGAACAAATAATTACAAGTTACTAATTCGCGATTTTTGTGGAAATTTGATATTAGTATTAAATGATATGCCAGTTACTCTGGATAGTACGCGAATACTCTAATTAGTAATCTTTTTATTGTATTTTTTAAAATAATGTTATGAGTGTATGTAGGATGTCTTATTTTAACTGACAGATTGAGATTTTTCGAAAATTATTGAAGAAAAACATTTGAAATAAAAGATATACGTTTTGAAGGGAGATAAATAATAGTAAAATTAATTTTCGATAAAAAATCAATACATGATTTCTCCGATTATTCTGCATATAAAAGTATTAAGATAAAATTGTCAAAAAATTAATAACTTTACACTTTACTTTTGCACATTTCAACATAAAATATAAAATATCTCATAAACTATTCAACCTTTGCTATTATATTTTAATATTTTTATGCATAAAATAAGATAAATAAATTAGTGCATAGAAAACATATAGTTATTTTTAAAAAAGAATTATGCAATTCGTAATATGCAATTACATGTTTTTCTAAAAAGCAACAGCATTTTACACCCCGTAACTCATGAAAGAAACTATTGAGAATTATTGGGAATTATTCAGATTTCTATAGTTATCATTCAATTTCTGTAGTAACTTGAGTAGTAACTATTAGCGATTATATACATGAATATCTATAGACGCCAATAATTGTACATTTTCAGAACTATTCGCCAATAGTTGCAATTACAATTCAATTACTATTCATACACGTAGTCGCCAATAGTTACTTTTCAGAATTATTCGCCAATAGTCGCAGTTACTATTCAATTACTATTCATAGAAATCTAGAATAGTTTTCAATAGTTCTCAATAGTTTCTTTCCATACGGGATGGATGACCGTTTTAAAAACATGCAATGATAAAAAATGTTTCATTATTTTCTCTCAGCTTTTTTTATTTTTACTTATTTTCCGTAAGAGGTGTCACGTATATTATAGATTTTCACGATCTATATGGCTGTCTGGGATATTCTTATGCATGTCCTACATGATATACTTTTTTAAACCATTTTCATCCTGTGGCCATATTCCGGGATTCTACATACTAGGAATTAGGTTAGTGAGCGGTAGTAACGATTTAAGTACTTATCAAAAGTAAAAAAACTTAAAACGAAAAATAATACGAAAAATAATACGCAAGTATGAGCTAATAAAGCTAAAATATATAGATATAAAATAGATGTAAAAACAAAAAAAATATTTGATCTATGTAACAGGAAAGAAATATCACAGTATGAAGCATCTGTGCAATAGAATTAAATAAAACTAGATATATTATAAATTTTAATCATTTTTCATCATTTTTCTATTTGTTAACATTGTTCTTTTATCACTTTCCATAATTTGATTCTGTTATTCGTAGCTATTATGCATTTATTGTTCAAACTTTAGTAATGTATATAATTATAAGTTATACTTATTCATGTTATTTTATTTTAATTTTCAAAAACTTCTATATTAATGAAAATTATCTATATAATGAAAATATTAATGAAAAAATTATGAAACGTAAACATATAATAAAATATATTAACCTGAAATGGTACTTATACTATTACTTATATTAACACAAATATTTTGCATTACATATTTTATATTAAAGTTATTATAATTATGATAAAACTGCAAACATTTCTTATATATTTCTTATATTTAAAAAAAACATTTATACTTTAAAATAAAATTTCCATCACAGTTATTATCATAAAAACAAAAACATTTTTGTAGAAAAACTTATACTTCAAACTAAAACATAACCATTATCAGTTATTTATCGCAAAAGAAGAACATTTCTTATTATTGTTATTAGAAACATTTTTACTTCAAACAGAAACATAACTATTATTAATTATTATTATTAGTTATTTATCAGTTAATACATAACTATTATTAATTACTATTATTAGTTATTTATCACAAAGAAAAATATTTCTTATATTATTATAAATTTTTACTTAAATATAACAATCACACAATTACTATTTTTTTTGTTATAAAAATATTATTTTAACTCTTTAAAATAAAAAATTTATGTTTGTTATTTATGTTTTCTGTATTCATTTTTAACTTAATTTTTATATTATCTCTTTCCAATATTACGTTCTTTATGCACTTACAATACACATACTATTAGAGCCAATATTGGACCAATCAACGTTCAAGCTGCAGTAAGTTTACAGAATTATGACATATAAGTTATAAGTTTAGCTAAATGTTTATCATATAACGTTTGTAGAAACCAATCAACATTAAATCCTAGTTTAATTATAACGGAAGTTTTATTAACCTGGAGATTAAGATCAAAATGATAGAAATGGATATTTGTCGAATTTTTCAGCGTGCCTTCGCTAGTTCGCTGTATTCGTCGAAAATCAAGGGATAAAAATTAGCTTTGCTTCGCTGCATGAAAAAGCAGCTTAAAGCTGTAATTTCATGCAGCGAAGCAAAGCTAGCTTTTATCTCCACTCTACTTCAATAGTAGCGAAAGCTAGCGTTGAAATGTTATTGCTTATCGCCTCCTTCTTTTTCATGGAGCGAAGAAAAGCTAGCATTTTATCCCTCCACCTCAGTAAAGACTGACTGTGCTTTGATATTCATTGAATTATAATTGTCAGTACATCAAATAATGGAGCAATATAGATGTATGGTACAGTTGCAATAGAGATTAGGAGACACATAATCGCTGCACTGGCTATGATGACATTTATTATTATTACATTACATTACATTTATTATTATTTTTATTTATTTATTATTTATTTTATTTATTATTTATTTATTTATTTCGTATATATTTCTGGTCAAAGATGTCCCTTCCATAATTTTAAAATTATATAATAAATATCTGTATATCTTTTATAATTTCTCTTTTACTTCACCGGCAACTTTTTCTAGCATTACTTCGCTATAAATTCGATTTAGTCGAACTTTTCAGCATGCCTCCGCTAGTTCACTATATTCATCGAAAATCCATGGAGAGGGAGTAAAAGCTAGCTTTGCCTCGCTGCATGAAAAAGCAGCTTAAGGGAAAAAGTCGGAGTCGGCGATCTAGCATAATATATAGAAGTCTGTGGTTTATTCTGCTTGATTCTTGTTCTTGTTCTTGATTTATCTGACGATTTGCGACAAGAAAGGATATTGTCAGATCTTGTCAATTTATAGCAGTTGATTTCAATTAGAGTAATCAGCACATTGATATTTGATCGATATCCATTGGTAAGTCACATAATTTTATCTGATCAATATATTCATCATAATGTCGGTATGCCATTTTTCACATTATCAATCATCCAGCCATGAATAGATGGGTCTTGTCTATTGTTGCTAATTATAATTTAATTGTATCATGCTCTTAATATGCGTATCTATATTAAAATTATGTAAAAATGCTTAAAAGGAAAAAGACAAGTTAAATAAATACAACACTTTAAACGATTTGATGAAATGTTTATATAAAAATAAAAAGATTACTGTTATCCTTAGCTATACAATGTAGATATTTTATATTTGCTTTTATCTGTCATGCTATTATCTTTAATTGTGATGCAATATGTGCAGTATAATTAATGATTGATATGATTACTTTCAAATATTCCTTTTGCTAAAATCTTATAGATTATAGAGATATAAAAGAACAGATTTTTGTCTATCATAAAATTAAAAAATCTTTCTGTAGTGGTACAATAAAAATTTATAATAAATTTTGCTTTAAATGTTTAAAACTATAGCTTTAGTGTTTTATCTATCTACTCTATTTATTTAAATTAACAAAATCTATATTGACTTTTGAAAATTACAATAATTGCAAATAAAAAAGCACTAAGAGTCAAAACATGGTTATTAGTGTGTAATTTATTAAATGTAATACTTATTGCTTGAACCTATATTATGTTTAATGAGAATCATTTTATTATGAAAATTGTTTATAAATTGTTGAACATATTTTGTTTATTTGTTTATGAATTTTTGTCAATATAATTGTATTAAATATGGGAAATATTTTTCTTATTTATATATTACAGTTAATTAAGAAAGATAATAATAATAATGTTATTTCATTATTTATTTATTAAAAATGACGATTAAATGACGATATATTTATAACAGTAATATTTCGTGGCAAACGTGTTTCGTATTACGTTTATTTTACATCATTTTTTAATACACTGACGTCAAATGACGAAAAATGACCTTTAATCATCATCATAATGACATTATCTTGCTACTTGAGATATGACAAATGATATTCTACACAGATTTTATACGAATAATCTTAATATATTCGGTATGATCACAGTACATTCAATAAATAGAATATTTGTATGATATCATGTGTTCCTAGGGTATATCCGATATATTCTGAAGATGAGCTTAAGAATATATAAGAAATGTTATACCATCGAGATGTCATATGAATGTTCTCTGGTATATTAGGCAATAGTACGTATGACAGTACTTTCAGTATGAATGTAGAATATTTGAATAATATCATGTGCTATTAGGGTAATAAATATAGATAAGATTTAAAGATCTCTGTTTATTACAAAATTTTTTATCTAATAAAAAAATAACAATTTGTTAACATTTAAACTAAATTTCTGTGTTTTGTATATTTATGTCTTTTATGTTTAATGTTTAATTTTAGTTATCTTCGTCTCTCTTTTATTTTAAATCTTTTTAAATTATCTTTTAACATAATTATATAGGTTATAAAATACACATAATTATTTTGAAAAAAAGTATATACTTGCATGTTGCAAGTTGTATAATTTTTCTAAAGCAGCTGTTTTTCTCTATTAATTAATTTGTTTTATATATGCTTTACGCTTAAAAAATCTAAAATGTTATTTGTATAATCATTTATTTTTATACATAATTATACATATAGTTTACAGATATATGTCTGAAGTTTTTAATGAATTATATAACATATATTTGATATGTTTTCAAAATTAAATTGAATAAAAGTGATGCTTGTTCTTGATTAGATTAGGTTTAAGAGACAAATTATCTTATAAAAATATCTGTGTTAAGTGTAAACTGAAATGTACCAATTAAACTTATTTTTATTTTTATCTGTCTATATTGGAATCTCTTTAATTTTTAATTATCTCTCAAAATTTTTGAGATTTATATTATCTATCAGAATATCTTTAAGACAGAGAAATAGGACAGAGGACAGGGAGGGAGGAAAAAAAAGAAGAAAAAAGGAGGGAAAAGGGAAGGACAAGAGAGAGAGAGAGAGAGAGAGAGAGAGAGAGAGAGAGAGAGTACT